AAGTACCGTAAAATATTAAATCTGAACATCTAAACATGGGAACCGGTAACTTTCATAACGTAAAAGTAATTTGAAGTTGTAAAACCTTTTCCCAGGGGTGCACTGAGATTGAGGCTACGGTAGCTTCTAAACTCTATACAAAACACTTTGTACCATAAACTTTACGCGAAAATCGTTAAGGGAAAAAACGTTGCCTCTAAAAATCGAAAAACTTCGAGCAACATTGAAAACTTCCAAGCTGCTACTACTACCCATGCTATATTGTTGCGTTAACCGTTAAAACTTCCAATCATTTTAACAATGTATATATATATATATATAAATAACAAATAAAAATACGAATATTTTGCATACCATTGATAATCTATGATAACTCGAGGGTAAAATTTTTATTGGACGGATAAAAATATTTTTCATACGCGGGATAGTAATATTCTGTGATTTTGAGGCACGCGAGATTTGATACTTTCAATATTTTTGCTATAATTTTTTTTTTTTTTATGCTAGAATAACAGAGAAAAAACGTGTCCCCGAATGAAATGAATTTTCACGAAAAGGTTCGCGTTCATTGATCCCGTATTTATATCGAATCGAAGTTAAAATGATTTTGACTTTTTATTAAAAAACAGTTAACTGTCTAATACTGAAAATTGTCATTTTTTCCCTGAGAAATTGGAAATACTAAAAAATTATGAAGAGGAACTATCATTTCCTGAGATAAACTTGCTAAGATCAATGAATGTTTAAATTGGAACATACAAATTTTGCCATTTTTTATCCATCATTTATGCATTTTTCAAGAGATCAAAATGGAACACACCCTGTTACAATGAAAGAAGAATAACGAACTTAACTCTACGATCTTGATAGGAAATTAAAAAAAATTAAAACTCCGGTTAATCGAAATTCCGCTATAATCTCATTGTACACCAGTTAAAAGTTCGTTCAGGAAGATAATCTCAAGGCGTTAAATCGGTCTTCCTCCCTGCGGAGGAAATGAAAGGGGCAGGTATTCGTGTTCCAAGTTCTTCCGGAAGAACGGCTCGTCGCCGTTTCAACCGAATTCGATGGAAAGATATTGCGTTCCCTTGCGGTCTTTCGAATTCCACTTTCCTTACTTTATTTCCCACGGTTGGGCCGTGCCTCTCCCGGCCGCGGCCCTTTATAACCTACGAGATTGTTCAGTTTCTCCGGTTTCAGCTCAAAAGAGAAGGCTAACACGAACCGGCTTTATTACTTTTTCCGGCTTCTCAATAGCTCGTAACTCGATGAGAACGACGAGAAAAAAAAAAAAAGAAGTAATCCCTCGCTTGTCATAATTTTAATAGCTTGGACAAATCTCTAGACTTTTGGACAGTGGTCCGAATTTAATCTTAATGCTTTAAACATGCTTCCTCCTAAGCTTAGAAAAGCTCGTTAGTTCCTTATCTTGGATAAAATGTTTGCACAAGTCTCTTTTGATAGATATTAATACAATTGTGGAATAGTTTAGAGAGGCTAATAATAAACGCAGAAGTTTCTGTTCGCATTGGACGAGGCGAGGAGAAGACAGAGAGAGATGTGATGTGACGGAGATAGAATGAGACAGCTCTATCAGCCGATCACACTGGTGTCTCCCTCTGTCGTCAAAACGAATTTCTATTGCTTACGACTAATAGGCTAATAATAAACCTCAATCGACATTTTTTTACGTCAACTTTTATATTTGTTTTGGCCTCTAGAATCAATTAAAAGCATCCCAACAGAGACAACCTATAAATATCGTATGAATAAATATACTAGTTTTCAAAACAGATTTATTATTATTAGAATCTTCGATCACTCTTATACTTATCCATGTATCTCCCCCAAAAAAGGTCCAACTGCGTCTCATTTTCTCCCAATTTTCAACCCTCTTTACACGATTCAGACAACTTCCCTTTAAATTCCCCCCATCGCCTCGATTTCGCCGGACCGGTTCTTCCTCGCCTCTAACGATTTTTCGAAGAACGACGGGATAATCCTGGAGAAATTTATCAGCTCGAGAGAGAGAGAGAGGCGAGGAGAGGAGAGGATCCTTTCTGGCAGGACCAATCTCGGAAGGTGAATTCACCGCCACTCCCGGGGAGAAGGAACGAAAAGACTTCTAATATCTGCTGGAAAGACGGAGCACATAATCTTGCCGAAAGGATAAACTCGGTTACCGGTCAGGATTTCGAATACGTCCACGTAATCCCGTGGACGGGTCCGCATCGAGCGATACAAAGGAAATTGTTTGCGAAACACATCGACTTGGCCAGCCGAACAATTTTAAATTGCTTCGATAATGCAATCTCCCCGATAATCTTTTCGAATATGATACTGGAATATCCTGGACTCGTGATAAACAATGAATGGAGGGGGTTTAATAATAAGTGAACGTGGTCCAATTATAATTTACGAGGTGACAACGGAGGTTCCTCCGTTGGGATTTTACGAAGCGACGAGGAGAAAGTTTTATTATATATATAGTGTTGTCTAATTTGCATTTTGTTCTATCTGGATTAAACATGGATAGTAATATATGTTTAATATAATGTAAAAATCGAAATGGAATATCAAATATCCGTGTTGGAAAGAAATATCGGTAAATATTGACGGGATGAAATGGGGTATTAATAAATGTCTGTGAATGTAATATTGATAAATGTGGGTAAAATGAAATGTTGGTAAACCGAGATATTAGTGGATGTTGGTCAAATATTAAAATGGACTTTTGGTATTGGCTTGAATATCATGTGTTTATACTGTACTCGATATAATTTCGGTGGACATACCGTATGTATGCATGCACGTATTTGAACTGTATCTATCAATAGTATTCATAGTTTTAGAAGAAAGCGTAATTATATTTTAATTTGTTCAAATCATCTTGTCTTATTCGTTGCCACGAATGCTACTCTTTTAAAAATAAAAGAGGTAAGAAATTATTAAATTGTACAAATAGTTCGATAATTTGTATACGTTAAATTTAACATGCCTATGATGATAATGATTGTTTCATCGATAACTGCAAAGAAAACATTTACATGGGTTAAATAAACTATTGTTCTCCTTTGAATAAACACATTAATGGGCAAAATAATTTTTAATGCCGAAAATTAATCAAGTTTAAAAGTCCTTTCAAATGAAATGTCGTGCAAAAATTTAATTTTACTACATAATAACTACATACAAATTTATTAAAAATTTGCATTTTATAATAATAAAAAAAATATGTAATATTTTAATTAATTTCTTGCTTTTAGGGAACAATTTAATGAAAAGAGGATTTCGCTTCTTTCACGAGGTACACAATCTTTTCGAAAATTCAATGTTAAAAAAATGCAAATTTCTCGATGAAGAAAGAAGATTTATAATGTATCGTTTATTTCTAAACAAGACAGCTTTTACAAAATTTATATAATTTATATGCTCTTCTCTTTCTGATAAATTATAGAAGAAATTATCCTGCAGTGTTTCTTTGCAGCCTTTCATGCACGAGAAACAAATTACCTTTGCCGCCCCACTATTTTCGACCCTATTCAATCTACCAAAAATTCGATAGCAATCTAATCAAATAAATCATGTGTTTTCAACAAACAAAAAAATTCGATTAGAATTACTCGAAATCTAAAACACAATCCTCGACACAATTTATTATCCATCATCAAATTTCAATAATAATAAATAAATATTACAAATATTACATATATATTCTGTATAATACTCATTTTTAGTGGTACGTTAAATTCACTTTTCTTTTTAAATCTACCTGATATTTCACGTAAAAGGGAGTAACAAATTATTTTTTTACCGTGGAAAGAAACTCGCAACTCGAAACAGAAGATTGGAAAAAAACACTTGGGACAACACTTTATATCATCACGCTATTGAGAATGTAAGAGCATGAAATGGAAAACAGCATTGAATTGAACGTGACTTGTCCCTCGGTCGAAGTCGAATTTATGGATCCTGTCCGTGGCCATAGGATTTATGGAAATCCAATGCCTTAATTGGAAAATTATAGGACAATGTCTGGGAGCCGAGCATTCGGCCCGCAACCCGTTACTCAACGAGTATAATCATCCCCTCACCGATATCCGACTTTCACAACCGATATTTCCTGTCTCCAGAAGGGTGGACAACCCTCGGATTGGGCCGACATTGTTCGTCGAGGGACGAATCGGGGATTTAACAAAATTATTGTCACCTGCCGTTGAAAGGCGATTGATCTTTAAATTGCGACTCCAAAAAATAGTTGGCATTAACTTTCATCCCTTTCGTCTCTTTTATTTTTCGTGCGAAAAATATTAATCTGGAAAATATTTTTATTTTTTGCGTTTCGAAGGAAATTCTCAGAAAGAATTTTATTCAATTGAATTGTTCTAAAATTAATTTGAAATTTTGATTCATATCGTTGAATAAAATTATATTTAAACAATAAAAGTTTAGAGCTGCATATATATACTTATGTAAAGTAAAGAACTGTTGATTTAAATAAATAATTAGAATAAATAATTGAAATTAAAAATAATTCATGCGTATAAGAAATACGAATAAGATAATGTTTGAATTGATTTAAGAAAAACACGCACTTTTATTTGAATTTTAAAAGTTTTACTTAGTAAAAAAAAAAAAAAGAAAAGACATCTGCTTTTACATCTGCTTTAATAAATTTATATACTTTGACGCGCTGATGCTTAAGCAAAATGTAAAGCTGACTCTGTCAGCTGTCGTGAGCGTTCAAATATTAAATTACTTTACATTCAATTTTACATAAAGTGGAGTTAAATGAAAAATATCTCGATTCAAGAATAAAATGAAGCGTAACGTAAAAGGGGAAAAAAAGAAAAAAGAATATATAGAATCTTGCAAAAAAATAAAGTAATTATAATTTGTACAAAAATCTTGATGTACATGCTTGAAAAAGAATGATTAAAACAGATGGGGAAATTGAATAAAAGAGTTTAAACCGCAGCTGGAAATTTGCATTTACTTACCTAATGAGGTGGCGGCACACAAAACGTGTAGCTGGTGAACCAAAATGGAGGCCACCAAGGCCGAAAGACGACTCAACATCGTAGTCGATTCTCAACTCATTTCTGTTTCCAAAGTTGAGACGTGGGCGCCTCTGTTCACCTTCTGATCTGAAATTTTGAACAAAGCATAAGTTTACTTACAGTCCCAGTTTACAAAATATCCATGTAGAAATTTCCAATTACAATAAATACGACGTTATAACAAGTATGTAAAATTTAATCGTATTTACGTGGAATTATCGTTTCGATGCACTTTGAATAAACACAAAGGGTAATTCTATTTGTCATCATAATTTTGAAATAATGCATTAAAATTCTACATACACGATTAATATTATCGATTTGTAATTACGTGTCGGAGGAAAAATTGTTATTGGAAATACACGAATTTATCCTGCATTCTTGGACGATGAAGTCTAATTATTTGTGTCAAGAAATTGATGCGATTAATAAGCGAGTCGCGCGTAACATCATTTAATATTTGCAAATATTTGGATAATATTGTGCCTAGCAATATTTTTAACACTTTAATAAATAAATATCTCTCCTCGTAGAAATGCTAATTTTTCTTCTATTATCCGTATGAAAATAATTTAAATACCTACAGCTTAACTATTCTTATCAACAATTAAGAAATTATTAAATAATATTAAGAAAAATATACTAAGTAACTAAGTAACAACATCGTGTAACGGCTATAATATTTAAGAAGGCGAGAAAAATGGAAACAAATCGTGTAATGATAATCAGGGTGATCAACAAAGTCAACGAATCGGCGTGTACAATTGAATCTTATCGCTCGATAATTAAAGATAAAGCACGTAACAAGACGAATGCGGCCGTTAATTATACTCAGCTTCCCCACTGCACGATGTCAAACGATCCCGGCAAGCCCACCGAAATCCCCCTGGACTTGGAAATAACACCTCCGGTTGCCCGGGGCTGACCCAATCGGGGTTCACGAGACACAAAGCCTCCCTAGACAGAGATCAATGCGTTACTCGGCCCATCCACGTGCGTGTGTGTGTGTGTGTGTGTGTGTGTGTGTGTGTGTGTGTTCGTGTCGCAGAAAAAGGATCGACGAGCCTTTTTGGGGGGGGGGGGGAGAGCCGGATTAACAGTTTTACACACCGACGACGACCGCTGCGCTCTCTGGCGACCCTCATTTCTTCGCAAATATCGTCTTAATGAATTTCTAACGAGCTCCTCTCCTTTTGGAAATTCATAGTTCGAATGAATTATGTATACGGGAAAAAATCCGTGTTGATAAAGGGGCGCTCTATCGTAGAGCGGTGGTTCGTAATTTTTTAGAGAATTTTTTAGAGGTTTTTATGGAATCGCGCTCTATTTCCCTTTGGAAATCCATGTTCCAAGTGAATCAATCACGTATACGGAGAAGAGAAAATACAAAATGTCGATAGAGGGATGCTCTATCATAGAGCGGTGGTTTTTAATTTTCGTTTTTTTTTTTTTTTTTTAGAAGTTGTTAAAAGTTTTATCGAGCTCTTTTGAACTAAGTCTTTTATAATTATTAATTAATATACTTTTTATGGAAAATTATGGGAAACCAAATTGTGATAAAGGAGGAAAATTTTGAAATTTATATAATATTAAAATTATCGATATATATTTAAATGGAAATTAATAATCTTATAATCTTCCATTTGTTTTAATCGTTTGTTTTACCGTGAAATATCGATTGAATGATACTGATTGCTAAATTTAAAATCATCCTTTCAAAAATCGCAAATAAGACATAAAGCTATCAAGTTTATATTTGAAATATAGAATCGAGGAATAATCTAAAAGCAAGTACTTTAAATTAAATTCTCAAAAATAAAATACAATTGATTACTAGATAGATTTAAATAAAAACCATCGAGAATATTTTACTTGCTCCTTCATTTGTTTTTTAATTATTCGTTTCGTGATGAAATATTAATTGAACGTTATCGAATTCAAGATCATTATTTAAACTCATTCTCCTAATGAATCTAAAAACGCATCGGCAAATAATTTAAAACAGTTTCAGATTTCACCAAATCACCAGAAGCAAACGTACAATTCAAACAAACAATTCAAGCGACTCGGTGGAAAATAGAGAAACGTTAAAACGTTTAAAAAAAAAAACAAACGCGTGATTCGATGAATAAAGCATTCCAACAGATTAATTCGCCCAAAGTCATTTCCAAAGAATTCGTGAAAACAGACAGAGCAAAGCTGATTTCCCGCTTCGAATGGCGGATATCCAAATCCAAAAAGGCCGCGGTGAAATCAAAGGTGGCTCCAAGTCAAACAGAAGATTGTTAACCGCGAAATTTCGTGCGATTCAATTTGTATTCGAACGTTCACCCCTTCCTTCCTTCCTTCCTTTCTAGAGTTCATACACCCTAATGAATCCATCGACAACTCTTGAACTTCGATCGCGTTACTTTACCCTTCCAACCCTTTTATAACGTCGTCACTCATCGTTTCGTATCGTGACGTACAATTCCAAACGCGTAAAGGGAACTCCCTTTTGTAGCTTCGAAGTTCGACAACTGGAGAAAAGGATACGAAACAATTTCTTTCTCGTGAGAAGCAATCGTGAGAGTTGTCGTAACTTCGAAATAATTTCGACGTCTCGTGCAGGTGATACAGGTGGCGCCACAAGTGGGCCGAATGCGAAAAAGTTTCGAATCGATCTGGATTATCTTGGAGGAAATTGGAGAGGGAAGAGTGAGAATAGGTAGATAATCGGTTAATATCGGCATGGAGGATCTGTAGATTTTCCTTTTTCCTTATATTTGATCTTCGAATGTTTATTCTTTTCTTTCGTAAATGTTTGACGAAATTCATCACGAGTGAATTTTTTGCAATTATTGTAATTTTAGGCTGTTAATATCCCCCAGGGACTGCAGTCGTTGTTCGACTGCAGTACGGGTTTAGCGCACCCGGGGTACCCGAGCTCTAGCATAAGCTTATGGTGATATTTCGCAGGTGAGGATGACAACCTCTTTAAAAAAAATCCCTAAATAAATATATTAGTTGGATACGAATTATGAAGAATTGATTCTAGAGATCGAAACAAACGTAGAAGTAAGTTGACGATGAAAAGTAAACCGCTTGTAATTTAATAAATAAATCTCGATATATTTTTGATTACATCATCATCTTTCGTGTTTATTTTCTAAGCTTTCACGCTCTGTTGATTAACTTCTAACACGTTAAATATCCGTCACAATGGAGATTTTTCCATTTCAATTCTTACTTATCTTTCCGATTACTCGAGAATTCGTTCGATAATTATAAATATAAAGTTTAATCAAGACCACGGAATGGGGAAACTATTTCACAAAAGAAGCAAGAGAACAATACCTTGTCGCGAATAACGACGAATAACTCCAGTTATAAATTCCTTCGCAGCAATAATTACAGAGCAATGAATTTTTCTTAATTTCCTCCTCGTTGCAAATGCAACTTGTTCCTCGTTAATTTGCCGCGCGAACCTTTGCAAATTACGCAACTGCGTTATTGCACGATTTCAACGAGAAACGAATAAAGGGGAGTATGCGAAAAAAAAAGGCCAGGTGCAAGTAAACGAATCCGGGTCGCGCAATTACGAATTGTCCCCTCAATGGATTATATCCGTTACTTTCGATCGTGGATAAGAGAAAGAAAAAACGCGCGAATGTAATCTGTTCATTCAGCGAAGAAGAACGGTATTCGTTTTCATTACGAGCACGCGATCCAGCTTTTTTAACCTCGGCGGATTAATCGACAAGATCGTGGCGAAAAAAGATCAACGTTGTCTTGCTCGCGGTGCTGTAAAGCTATTTTCTCTTCTTTCTGTTTGGTGTGCAAACGATTTTATATATTTTGTACGATTTTTAGAAAATGAATAGAATTTATAACTAAGGATTTATTATTATGTTAAGATTTTTTGTTAAGAGAGAAGAGGTTTGAATACCATTACATTAGATGGTATATTTAAAGTGGAAAGAGAGAAATTATAATTAGCGTGCAAATTATTTGCATCAGTATATTGAAAATCAAAAGCGTCTACAGTTTGAATCGAACGAGGATACTCTGGGAATTGATTGATCTTGATCGAAAGAGAGGAAATGAATATGAAGAAATATAAAGTTTCTCGAATTTTGTTTAAAATAGTTTGAAGCTTGTTTTCTATTTTCAAGAATTAATAACATAACGAATTAGCAAGGGACACTAGATATATTAAAAAAAGGCCGTTAATGCAAAGAATTTTATAATGAAATAACAATTTGATTTATAAAGATTTTGTGAAAGATATTAAACGACTTGTAAAATCGTAATCTCGAATCGTCAAAAATGAAAAGATATAATTGCAAACAATAAAATTGAAGATTAGCAATTCAAAAGCAATTATTATTAATTCATCGCGTAATTATCCATGTTCCGCTTGCTAAATCTCAACGTCAGATTATTTCGATACAAAATTTCTACTTGCACAACTTATCTTCCTATATTGCATTACTGATAGTCCATCATTCGTGATAATACAAGCTTACAACATATGCGCGATTACCATGGCGCACAGCTTACAAAACGGTGCAATCAACACGCTATGCATTCTAAGTTGGAGACAAGGATTTATTATACTTCCAGCACGATAATTCTACGATTATTCGCTTAAAAAACTTTATTATTACACAATTACTCTAATATTCATCTGGTAGAAATGAGAAACGAGAAAACTGTGTTGAAAGAAACATAATTTGCGTGCATCGGATTAATCCAATTTAACCCTATATTTTTTTGCATAATTTTATTATTTCTTTCACGCTCGATAATATAGATGATGTGATACTTTGGTCGGTTATTAAATAATTTTTTAATAAGTGACATGAGTTTCATGTTTGTTTTTATCTTTTACACAAGGATATTTTATGAAAAGGAAATTGAAGGAAAAAAATATTTTCATCATAAATAACTGTTGTCAAAAGAATTTTTCCTTTGTCCCAAAAAATATTTATCTTGAAAGGATTATTGATAAATTTTTCAGGGCAAAATGTAAGATAAAAATTTTAAAAATTTGGCAAGATCAATAAAAGTAGAAAGACGAAATTCGAAATGCGAAAACGAGCACG